TTGAAGGGCCAGAGGAAGTTGTTGGCCTGCTTGAAGTTGGGGCCAACGGTGTAGATCTCGTGGATCAGATCCTCCATGCAGACAATGCCGAACTTGCCGAGGTGCTCCTCGATGATCTGGTTGTCGGTGAGAGGGGTGCGCTGCTTGTCGACCTTTCCGTAACCACGCTTGTAGAGAAGCTCGCGGACGGACTTCAGGTTGGGGTAACCGTAGGCAATGTAGGGGTTGACAATGGTCAACATCTCCTGGGTAGCCTTGGTGAGACGAATGAAAGTACCAGAGTTGATCTGGAGCAGACGCAGAAGCTGGAGAATCTTGCGGGGCTTGGGAGCAATCTTGTTGATACCCTTGATACGGACAACGAAGACGAGCTTGGGCTCACCCTCAACGAAGAAGCTGCCCTCCTGGCGAGCAACACGGTTGAGGCGGATCTTCTCGCGCTCAGCGGTGCGGTACTCCTGCACGTAGGACTCGGCACGCTTGAAGATAACACCACGCTTCTCCTTGTTGGCCTATATGAATCTCAGTCAGCATGAGAGTTCTCCAAAGTCTTGTGGAGAAAATGGCAAGTAGTTTGTGCAACTAATGTCAGACCCGAAAGATGGTTGACAGACGACAGCATTGACCGTGGTAGCGGTCTAGTCATCGTGAATGGTGTTATGCATCATGTAGTTGGAAGGGAAGTGTGGCAGTATGAGAGATAAAAGGGGAGAAACTGACCTTCTTGGTCTTCTCGGCCTCGGCACGGCGCTCAGCGCGGGCAGCCTCTTGGGACTTGCGCTTCTTCAGAAGGGTCTCGGGAACGAGGACCTGGTTCTGGGTGGGAACGGAGCTGTGGAATGTTAGAACAGTCTGTTCAAAATAGATCAAGACTGAGACAATTCGCCGAGTGAAAGAATTGCAGCATATAGCGCCACATTCTCAACTGAAGGCATTAGAAAAAAACTCGACGAAATGTCTTTAATCAGTGAGGGCCAAGCCATCGGGGTTTCAAGATCGATTACAGCTTGGTACTAGCCATGCATATTCCAGCACAGTCTTCGCAAACCCGATCACCCGCAATATGCCATTGATACCTTCATCCGACAAAACCCCGAAAAATGTTCAGGAAATATTTGTTGACACCTTTCGCCTCAGGGACATGATGCTGTTACCGCATCATGAGCGCCCGAGAACGATAGTTCACAACAATACTTTTGGAGGAGAAGGCGCCAGGCGCTTTCAACCTCAAGACTCCATCACCCTTTTTTCTGTATCCGAATTTTGCTCCGTGATATACGACATGTGTATCCGAGATAATTGGAACCGAGATAAAGGGCAGGAAGGATCGAGCTGGTACCTAGCCGTCACCGATGTGGACAAACGGCTGGCATCCCCAGCGAGAAGGACGACTATACCCGCAACCTTACAAACTCAAGCAGAGGTTGCATCAGTCTTAGGAAGAAGTCATTGGGAATCATACGTAGTAGCGGCCATTTTGAAGGTCCGGACGAGGTCGAGAGTCGGCTGGTTGTCGAAGGATGTCAAAGGAAGAAGAAAAAGTTCGAAGAAAAGGAATGTAAGAAGAGACTTCGCTTGTGTGGGTGCGGGTCCCGCTAGCCATACGTGGTTAGCCTATCAATTCACTAGCGCTAACCGGTTCTGGATCCAACCCTTATCAGTATCGAGATAAGGGTTTCCCTCTTATCAGATGACTTCATGGATGTCTGACCCGCCTGGGGTAAATTACACGTAACCAGGACTATCAAGTGAACTCGACCTCCCTTACACTCACTCCATACGCCATGTCCCGTCGCGGAGTAGGCCTGGGCGCCTTTGCAAACCGAACTCAGGCAACACAATCTTATGCTAGTCATGGCGCCAATCTCCGCTCTACTCATACTGCCTCCCTGCAGACCCAGTTGTCAGTTTTCCAGTCGTTGCTCCACACCTTTGCGTTAGAGCATAGCTCTACGATAAAGTCCAACCCCACATTCCGAGCAGAGTTTGCCCGCATGTGCAACACCATCGGGGTTGATCCCCTTGCCGCAAGCAACGTCAAGGGCAAGAATGGCCGTCGCGGACTGGGAGAAGGGGGGAGCTTCTGGACCCAGATTATGGGCGGGGATATGAATGACTTCTACTTTGAAGTCGCAGTTAGAGTTGTGGAGTTATGCAGAGAGACTAGGAGCGAAAATGGTGGACTGATTGGTGTTGAGGAATGTCGGAAGCGAGTGGGGAAAGGCAAGGCGATCGGGAGTGGGCTCGAGGTTTCAGAGTATGGGGCTATCCCTTCAGGAAATAAGGATATATCAATCAGTGGCTAATTGCACTATGTGCTTGACAGTGATGACATCCTACGAGCAGTTCGGTCTCTTCAGCCTCTTGGCTCCGGGTTCTCCATCGTCAAGGTCGGCAGCAAGCAGTACATTAGGTCCATCCCCAAAGAACTCAATAGCGATCAGGCAACAGTCTTGGAAGTCATTCAGGTGCTGGGTTTTGTGAGCGTTTCAATGCTGCGATTGAACCTCAAGTGGGAAAAGGCTCGAGCACAAACTGTAATCGATGACCTGCTTGCTGATGGTCTAGTCTGGTTGGATGCCCAGGGCCCTGAGAAAGAGTACTGGTCACCACAGAATCTTCTGGAGGATAGCGGATGAAGTACGAGACTCATGCGGTTCGCCTACAAATCATGATCGTGATCATAATGTCTCGTGCGGTCATCTATCGCGTCACACCTTTTTGCGAGAACCCGACTCATAACATATGGCTCTTGCGTCTTTTCCTGTCTAAGCATTACGGATGCATTGAACAGTCGGCGCCTCGAGAAGGGCAACATTCGCCCTTCCTTTCCGGGCCTGTTGGTCAACCCACGACGAGCTACAGTCTGCTCGATACCATTATTTGTGACACTTGTCTACCGCCATTGGAACTACAGAAAGAGGCCATCCAATTCACAAAGAGAGATCCGAGCTCGAATGATCGGCGAGTAAGTATTATTGGCAAGGATCGAGTACAAGCGGGTACGCGGGAATTCACCAATAGAGCAAACCCCTTGAATGATTCGTTTGTGTTTTACTTTAAAATCCCGGTGCTAGCTCGATAGCAATAACGACATATTCCATAGTCTGACGAATCTAAAGTTGCATGAAACTCATTTTTTTGGCGTTGAAGTTGCGGTGACGCATTGCGTGATACGGAGTGACGAGCATGCAAGATATTTCTCTCCCCCCGAGAGAACTGTTTATAAACTGTCTCATACCCCATCCATGAGGAATAGTCCATTGGTTTAAATATAATTTGAACTGACATACTACATATACCCTGCCACCATGTCCCAATCTAGTGTTCTAGCAACAGACCCCGTTGTCTACGCTGGATACGAAGCCACGTGGTCCAATCTCCCGGACACCGAACAAGCATGGATTGCTAGAGCCCGAGAGGTCGCCGAAGTGTTAGCCAAGGATGTGGCCCAAAGAGACCAGGAGAACAAATCACCGCGCGCCGAAGTAGCCCTGCTCAAGTATTCAGGCTTGACAAAGCTTCTAGGACCTAAGAAGTACGGTGGTGGCGAGCAACCCTGGAGCGTTGGGTATAAGGCAATAAGAGAGGTTGCAAAGGCAGATGGGTCGGACCCAAGCATCCCTCATGCCCCCCTAGGATAGTCCCTAACAAGAAGACAGATCTATCGGTATGCTGCTTGGCTATCACCTTCTCTGGTCTACCATTGCAAATGTGATGGGCACTCCTGAACAAGCCGACCGAACCCATCAGTTGATCATTTCAAACAACTACTTTGTCGGTGGCGCCGTGAACCCCCGCGACAATGATCTGAAGATCACCCCAGATGGAGACCATATCGTATTCACTGGGAACAAGTACTTCAACACCGGAGGCGTTGTATCCGATCTCACGGTCCTTGAGGGTATATTGGATGGCACTCAGGATCATATCTTTGCGTTGGTCGAGACCCAACAGCCTGGTATCCAGTTTGCTCACAACTGGCACAACATTGGGTTGCGCCTGACCGAGTCTGGAGGCGTGAAGATCGAGAATATCCGCGCTCCTTGGTCAGATGCACTGGGCTGGGATGCATCTACCAAGAAGCCCCGCGATGATACTCTAAAGATCGCGTTCCCTACCCTATTTCTGCCAACGTAAGTGCAGTCTATGCCATTCGATATGTCATGCTCCCCGGTAGTTGCATGGCTGAATGCTTACTCGCTCTCTCCCACAGCATCCAACTGGTCTTCAGTAATTTCTACTTGGGTATTGCTCTCGGTGCTTTGGATTTCGCCTCCAAATACACTACGACCGCAACACGTGCTTGGCCTTTCGGCGGCGACAACAAGGAATCAGCAACGGATGAGTTCTACATCCTCGAACGCTATGGCAACTTCTTTGCACATCTACGTGCCAGTGAAGCCCTTGCCGATCGAGCAGGCGATCAACTCTCAGGGCTTTATACTCGATATCAAGCGCAGAAATCCGGTCTGACGGCCCAGGAACGTGGAGATGTTGCTGAGTGGGTGGCTAGTATCAAGGTAGTGGCCACAGACGTCGGACTCAGGGTTACCTCTGGTGTATTTGAAGTGACTGGAGCCCGGGCCACCGCCTCCAAGGTCGGATTGGATCGATTCTGGCGGGATATTCGAGTGCACACTCTTCATGATCCGGTGGCGTACAAGAATCGGGAATTGGGACGATATGCACTACTACATGAATTGCCTGAGCCTAGTTGGTATACTTAAGACAGAATGAAATTCATATCAATATCAATATCAATATAAATGATATATGCAGGGACAAGCTGTACAACATAAAAAAGGGTACGATAAGACCCACCGGGCCGATAATCTTTCGGTCCGACTTTTTTTCTTTTTTTTCCCCTCCATTTTTTTTTCTTCTTCTCTCTTGTGGGAAAAACATTCGACAGCTCTCTGTGAATAATTCACTTCTTGATTTATCTCTATTGGGTTATTCATCTTCATATCTCTATCCAATTCTGAAATCCTAACAATATGTCGGACCAAAAGCAATATGCCACTTACAACGATGTAAGAATTCCTATGGACTATATACTATCTCGTGCTAGTCAGAGACAAAAAAAAAAAAGAGATGGGAGGCATTGACGAAGACACATGAACTTCCAACAAGATCTCAACCCCACAAAATTTGCAGATTGTCTTATCGCAGTCCACAATTATAATCCCAAAACTTTAAAAAGACTCACTAACGCAAAGATCCTCGACAGGTCCACAATCTCTGCAAGCAGTCGGCGAGAGGGCCCCTCAAGGAATTCAAAATCAACCTTATAATCGCCATCGGCGGTGGTGGTTACATCCCTGCCCGCATCCTCCGGTACGTTCCAAGGTTCAATACGTGCTCTGGACTATACTGATCCTTAACAGGTCCTTCCTCAAGGAGACTCCTGATGCACCTAACATCCCCATCCAGGCTATCGGTCTGTCCCTCTACGAGCGCTTGGGCACAGAAAGCGTTGAGGAAGCCCCCGGTACCGAGGTCAAACGTTTGCAATGGCTCGATATCAACTCCTCGATGGCCAATTTGATTGGCAAGAACGTTCTTATCGTCGACGAGGTCGATGATACCCGCACAACCCTAAAATACGCCGTGGAGGAGCTCACGAAGGATGTCAAGAACGCCCAGGACCAGCTCGCTCCCGGCGATGATAGGAAGAACCTGGAGACTAAGTTCCACGTCTTCGTTCTGCACGTATGTTTTTTTTTCCTGTCTCTTTTGTCTCTTTGGAGGTTGAGGAGTTTGGCTGACAACTGAAATAGAACAAGGACAAGGCCAAGAAGGGTGCTCTGCCCGAAGATATGACGGTTAACGACCAGCGCTACCACGCCGCGGTCACCACTGGGGATGTCTGGATCTGTTATCCTTGGGAAGCTGAGTATGTTATATCTCGAGATTTTCTGTCATAGAGATTGTGGCTGACTTTTTTCTTTCTCTTCCTACAGAAACATCGAAGAGCACGATCGTAAGGCCAAGTTGCACCCTATCGTCGATACGAAGAAAACTACCATCGAAGAATCTTCCACCCAGGCCGTCCAAGAAAAGGTTGTTTAAGCGAATGATTGCATTATGATAAGCATTACATTTTGCGCGGTGCTCTGACGGTTTATATTGTTGACTCTTTGGTCTCCGGTTTTACTGTCCATGCTCAGATCAGGTGCTCAAAACTGAGCATGTAATTTTTACGATATCCTTGATGATTTTCATAGAAAAAGTTCTTTCTTTTTTTGGCAGATTGGCAGACCGGCAGGCCGCCCCCCCCCCCCCCCCCCCCCGCGAAGACCTTTTCACTTGAAACTGCTCTTGCATCCGGTACATTTTTTTCCTGAAAGAAACTGCTCCCGTAATCGCCGGGGGCCTGGCGTCCTCCAACGTTGTTTTGCAGACATTGAGTTGTAGACGGGTATCAAGAGAATATAGTATTGGTAGCGGTAAACAAAAAGTCACTGGAGCATAGTGTATTATATTGATCCGGCGCAGCCTTTTCAGTCCTGCAAAGACAAAAAGCCTCTGCGTCCAAGCACCAATCCACACCCTGAACTTCTCAAGACTCAGACCCAGACCCAGACCCTGTCTGCCTGTATTCTGGATCCGAGTATCTGATTATTATTCTAGTCCATGGGCATAGCGATCTCGCATTTAATCGACCTCGACCTTGCCCTGGCGCAATTCCACCTTGGCAAGCTCGATCTCCTTTTGTAGCTCGGCGTGTGCCTCGGGGACATCGTTGAAAGTGAAGATCGCCACACCCAGGCGGGCGAGGAGGTAGCAAGCGAAGACAATAAGCGCATAGAATGGAAGCTGGATGATTATAGATTAGTTTTCCTTCCATCAACACACTCAAAGACCAGAGTTGGAGTCGGGGTTGGAGTAGGTAACGCACAACTGGAATGACTTCAGTCTGGACAGTCTCGTTCAGGGGAACGAGTCCAAGGAAAAGGGAAAGGTAGAGCTGATCAATTGTCAGTAAGATCCATGCGGGATGGTGCTCCTCACTGAGATGGAGCCACTTTGTAGCATACCGAGGAGACAAGGAGAAGAACGGAAAGGGTCTGGACAGCACGCGTCATGGTGAGATAGGTAGATGAGATAGTAGATTCACAAAGGAGAGGAGAGAGGTCAATTGTGAAGATAGCACCGGTTTATCTTAGCAAAAATGAGGGACTCGGGGATGTTGTAGTGCTATATGCGGCAAAGGCCAGCTTGGGCGATGCGCTTCTTGGCGCCCGGACCGGGTCACTGGTCTTGTGTACCTGCCAAGTCTATAGCGATATCTTAGGGGATTTAGATTATAAAACTTTACTATATGTATGGATTTGTTAAATATATTTATTTGTCTATATCTAACCTTTCCATATATCGAGAATGAATATAAAAAGTTCAAAAAAGAGAGACGAACATAGGCAGTAATATCTGCCCTTGCGCTTTGAGCACGAATCATGTTATGTAAGCAATAATCAACTCCGCCTCAATAAAGCACCATAACATATTTTTTCATACTTGACCATTGTCATAGGAACTAGAGTCACTAATAGGGTAGTGGATTCTCATATATACTGTAATGCAAGGGAACTTCATGTGAAAGACCCTCCCTTGGCCTAGATTCAATGCACTTCGATCTGTCCATGATCTATGAAACTGTGATCACCATTCCTGAACCTCGCCTGAGTATAGCACGAACTTACCACCATGCTGCTCCTTGGTGTCTGTGCTCAGAACCCCAATCATCCCGGCAATGGACTTCTCAAGAGTGTCGGGGGCCTCCTCCATGCCCCAACTCCGCACAGCTTCATTGCCCATGTCGGTCTGCACCCAGCCGGGATCCAACACAAACGCATTGAGCCACTCGTCTTCGGCGTTGATCCGAACACCATACCAGTTGACGATAGACTTGGATGCACCATACGCCGCACTTGGGACAGGAGGTTGGCGTCTAGAGATAATTAGCTGACATTTACTGTGTCCCGGATTCGAGCAGACATACGCGAGACCAGCAGCTCCAGATCCCATAATGGCATAGATGGGCTTTCTGGTCGACTTCTGCAGCAGATCGCGTGTAGCTTGGTACAAGGACACGACACTTATAACGTTGACATCAATATGCTTCACTATATCAGCCCGCTGGATGTCCTTGACGAGTGGATACAATTTGGCAATGCCGGCATTAGCGAAGACAATGTCGAGATGACTGATGTCCTGATTGGTTGCTTCTTTGACCGCATCAAAAGCAGACTGTTTAATACACGCTTCATACTTGACTACTATAACAAGACTACCCTCGCCTCCGGGCAGCCTGACAGGTACCTGGGCGGTCGAATGCGTTGGGTCACGGACGGCAGCTATAACAATCTATCGAGGATTCAGTGTCAGTGACTGCCCCAAATTACAAATGGAAGGGGCGAAAAGGAGAACTTACATGGTCCGGTTTAGTAATGAACCCTTTGACAAGCCCTAGGCCCAAGCCACGATTGGCACCGGTGATGAAGACAATAGTCAGGGCCATGGTGGTTTATAACGGGGTGGATTATAACGGCCCTTTTAGGGCTCGATGATGAGATTTAGGAAAAGACACCGAAAGTCTGTAGTGACTGATTTGACTCAAGGTGAGTTCGGTCAAGTGTAGTGGAACTGAAGTATAATATCATACAGATGTCCAACTCGGTGTACACTTATATATGTTTTTAGATGAGAGTCGAACAGACATTGTTGATTATCAATCCATACATATCTCATACTTAGTCTCCGATCTCCGAGGATTGGAAGCTAGAGACTGAAGCTTGATTATCCGATTACAAATTCAGGTGATCCCTGCCACCTACACCTCCAAGCCCGGAAAGTTGAACTATCACCATTTCAATGGGTAATTGCGCGAGCAATAATTGATCTATGTATTTCCATTATCTTGAGATGGGAAAGCAGCCATCAGCGCGTATATCCATTTATATAGTTAGTTACAATAATAGTTGGCCGATGTCTCTTTAGTGGTCTTCTCAAATATTTCATTTAGATGTCTTTTTTGATAAATAACCCCCCCCCCCCACCTTCGATTTTATAGGTAGGTAGACGACAGAGATAGAGCGATAAGGGCTTAATTTGTGAAGACGACTTTTCCATGTATGTGTAACCTAGGACTAGGACTGATAACTCTATTACCGAGATAAGTCCGATATTCCCGAGTTAAAAAAGCATATGTTGCAGTTTCCTGGTGTCGGATTCATATTGTAAAAGTAGACTTGATGATGGGCATATAGTTTATAACCGAAATGTGAGAACTGTGAAATCAATTCCCAATAATGACATTTTTTGGAAGCCAGAAACTGCCGTAATTGCTAGCAATAGTAGGATATACAATGTAAACAACGGAAGCCCGAGATCACGTTCCCGAACGTGCCCTAGACCCTACGCCAAGGAATGACTCTTTATGGATTTAATTGCCTTAAAAATTTTAATGAGCCACAAATAAAGGTGCTAAACTATGAGATAACGCTAGTTAAGCATTGAAGTGAGCCTTTTTGGAATGCTGAATATCTTTGTGGATGTGTTCAGTATGCAATTTTTCCACATACTAAGGTTGAAGGATTCGAAACACGAGCATTGTTAACGGAGCTCTTTACCAAAATTAGAAGCTATAGGCTACTGGTTAAGGAACTGTAGGATAATGGTTAGTCCATCAAGCTTATGTAATTCTCCCTAATCGGGAAATTATCATGATTCATTCCTTGAATATCGTGGTTCGATTCCGCGCAGCTCCATTTCTTTTTTTTTCCCCTCGGATTCTCTATGTATTTTTGACTATCAATATAGCCAAAAGTCCGTGAGAGAAAACCTCTGGAAGTGAATGTTTTATTAAATATCACATATCCATGGATGTATATATTCACAATCTATCGAGTTACTCCTTTTCCCTCTGCTGTTACACACATAACTAGCATGCTCCGTAGTTACATTAACTGTCGGGCCTAACCTAAACGGGATTGGTGCCTGAATCGACCTCAGGCAGCACACTCCGTCTCTTCACGAAGGGTCTAAACTTACTTTGTATCTGCGATATATTTCTGGTGAGAAAATCGATCGTCTTCCACTCATCTCAATAATCCATTTTAGGCTCTTGTTGCCTAATTAAAAGCCACCAGTACTCTCATATCGGAGTAAACGCTGTTTGTTCACAGTGTTTGAATTGTTGCTACGGGGTCAACAGGCTGCCATCTAGGCTCCTCCATCTAGCTGAGAAGGCCTTTCCCGTTCAGGGAAGAAATCCATATCTTCACATCCTCAAAGTCCACACGGACCCTTGAAAATTACCCCACACTCCGGAGGCAACTATCTGCCCCCAATTCGGCAAGATGTCTTCCGCGGGTATATCTACCGCGCAACTGGCCGTTCATGGAGATGCTGGCCACCCAGTCTCGAAAAAGGCTGATCTGGAATTGCCTTCTGTCAAAAATATTCTCATAGATCTACCGGAGGTTTCTTCCTCTCTACCACCCCGCACCGAAATCATTGACTCGGAAGAGCAACAGGACATGTTCCGTGAATTACGAGAGATTATTGAAAAGGCCCAGGAGGTCGACGAGGCTGGAAATAGCTTCGACCTCAAGGAGCTCCATGCATCCCTTGAAGAGGCCGATGCAAACGAAAAACGCGGGCGACGGGACGCCGAGACCCTGCAAAGCGTGAGGGCTACTCTGCAAAAGCTCTGGGCTTGTAACTCCGAGTATTTGGTTCAAGCTACTGAGATTATTGCGGATGGTAGCAGAGATCGTGGGTCAATCCTAGCTATATGTCAATTTTATGACTTGCTAATGATGATTTAGCCTCATGGCGTGCACCATTCGGCCAATCTGGTGTTCTGAACTTCTTCCTGGATGTGGTTTCTTTGAAGGGCGAAGTTGATACTAGCCTGTTGCTTCACTCTTTGCGAGTTATTGGAAACTCCTGTGCCGATACAGGTATGCTGCAATTGGTTATACCAATGCCCAGATAACTGATTTTGATGCAGATGAGAATAGGGAGATTGTTGTCAAGGGAAACTATACCCTTGCTATCATTCGATACTTCCTTGATCCAGATTTGCTTTTTGTTGCCATTCCGGTCATTTACAACATTTGCATGGATTACAGTATGTTCAGACAGAACCGGGTGATGATACATGCCTTGCTAATGTGATATCAGAACCAGCACATGCTCAGATGGCTGCTAATCGGACAGCTTACATCTTATTAAAGCTGATCAAAGATGGTGGTATCGAAGATAATGAGGCCTTACTTCATTTCTCATACGACTTGATTGAGTTGGCCTCAGAACAAGGTATGCTTTATCTCAACCTCGGTCTGATTTCCGATCTAATGTGCAATTTACAGCCGAAGGCATTGAACACTCTCCCGACGGAACAATTCTACTGCTGATGGACATTGCCATTGATGAGACTCTTGATTTTGCGCATTTCTCATCATTGGCAACTTCTCTTGCTGCTTACCTAGAAAAAGAAAAGTTCCAGAATATCTGTGTGTTGAACGGGATGGTGGAAGACGTGCTGGGCGTCCTGCGCCACTCATTTTCGATTGTGATAGATCCTTCTTTGAGCGAAGACATTAAGGCTCTCGTGCAGCTCCGCCTCAAAATTAACCAGGCTTTGGCTGAGGTATCAGCATCACCATTGTTCGCCCAATACTACCCCCTTGACTCTCCTCTTACACAGACATTGAAGTCATGGGTGGTTGCAACCGAAGATCAACTTCAGATCTGCGCCTGTGTCATGCTTGGAAACCTCGCCCGGTCCGACGAAGTCTGCCAGGTGATGGTCCGGGACCTCAAAATCCACGAAGAATTGATATCCGTTCTCAAGAGCGATGCCCGTGGTGCGGTCCTGCACTCTTCGCTTGGTTTCCTGAAGAACCTTGCAATCGCCGGCGACAACAGAGCTATTCTTGGAGAAGCTGGTATCATCCCTGCCATTTCACGATTATGGGCATATGAATCTGTTCCGCAGGTTCAATTCTCAGCTGCAAGCATCGCGCGGCAAGTGATTATCTCCTCGATGGATAATATTTCCCATCTTCTAGCTCCTCTCTCACAAGATATTGATTCTCCAGCTCACCAACGGACCTATCTCTCTCTACTCCTGTCTCTTTTCGAGAAAACAGACTCCACGCCAATCAAGACTGAAATCGGACGGACAGTTGCTTCGATCTGTCGGACTGTTAGCCCTAGGGCTCGCGACGGAGATGAAGAAGCAATGTCCTTGCTTGACCGACTGTACACCCTGCACGAGGGTGTTTCGCTGCCAGTAGGTGCGATGATCACACAGACTCAATGGCCTGTCGTTCGCAGTGAAGGCTGGTTTGCTCTGGCTCTAATGGCGACAAACAGACTCGGCTGTGCCGCCGTTGTAGACTGCTTGCACAAGACAGAGGTTACCGAGTTGCTTAAGACGGCCTTAGGCGGGGGCAATCCCAACCAAGATAGTGGCGAGGAGACAAACAAGTCACAAGAGACCAAAGATCGTGACAATGCTTTTGTGCTTGTGCAAGGACTGCTGACAAACGAGGTGAGTTTCCCGTCCTAGAATAATGTTAGTCATATGCTAACCAGAAAATAGTCTGGTGCACTTCCTGTCGGTTATAGAGATATGCTGGAAGACTTGGTGAAGGTCAATGCATCACAGTTGAAGGCTGTAACAGATGCTTAGTTGAAGAGGTCCAACATGATATTTTCCATTTGGAACACACAGGTGTCATAATAGTTGCATATGAGGTGATGCCTCGATAAAACATGGGCTCTGATTTAGACCGTGAAACCAATATTGTCTAAAAACGGACTCAAAAGAAGCCCATAAAAAACCTCTTCACAGGAACCGAAAAAGAAGGGATATCTCTCGCTGCATGTATCCCTGGAAACATGATATTTCGAATGAAATATTGCTGTAGGCATAGAGATAGCTCGAGCACCCGAGCAAAAAGGATCTAATTCGTTATAAGAACCCAGCTGTAGACGTGCAAAAGTTGAACAAAATCGTTAAGTATATACGTATATGTACATGTAACTTCCATTAATTGACACAATCCGATACGCAAGGGCCTCGAGATCATTCAGTCTGTAAACACACTTTCTCCTGCGCATATGCCCGGTAACGAGCTATGAGGTCTGTAGCGTCCAGACCAGCCGCACCTTGGCGAGCAGAATAATGTGAAACAAGGCCCTTGCCATCTATAATGACATGTGGACGAGAGCCATCTGGCATATGCCAATTGTGGGAGGATCTGTTTTGGTCGTCATTGCGGAAAATACGGTGCAAATCCACTGCATCATTACCCCAAAAGCACCCAAAGTTATCGCTGATGGGCTCGGTTGGGTCGACCCATATCGGGAACTTGTAAGGGCCCAAATCATTGTCTTCTAGGTGGTGCAAGAAGGAGTAATGCTGCTGCGCACCAACAGTCCAATCATGTAGGGTCGGACCAGTCTCGGTATATACCGATCTCGCGATAGGGTCTCGACCAGAGC